AGCACACGTATCTCAGATGTTAAGACTATCACACGCCTGTCGCTAACAAGACATATCAAGTACAACGTAGATATGATCCTGGATAAATATAAGATAAACGCGGTCCTAATTACTAAGTGCTATCATTTTCCTTATTTCCGTTGCTCAGCCCTTTACCCGTCCTCTCACCGAAAAACGTTTTGAATAATATTTGGAATTTTCAGCAATCGAGACAGCGACACCAAGGAAAATGTCGATTAAAAACTGATTTGAATTTTTCCATAAAACTTCACAAAAGGATCGATGTGTTCACCACCTCAGCGGCCTCCGACCTTAGCGATAAATCCCAAATAGAAATGGAAATAATTTGCTGTCTGTGTCTCCGATCTCGAACGAAGAAATAAAAAAAAGCAATTTCACGTTGTTTTCCAGATGATGTAGAGGAAATTAACCAAGTTCGAAAACGTACGAGCAGAGCTTTTGTTCTGCTCATTACGTCCTTTGTTCTTCCACGTTCTACTTTCCGCGTTGTTGTTGCTAAAAGTTCCTTCTCTTGATCATGGGGTGACGCCTAACAATGAGAATCTTGACCAAGGAATTATTTTGTAACCCTCACAAAACTGAAACTTGGGAAATGATGAATGCATGCGGTTTGTTTCATTGCTCCAGAACTCTCTTCACCAGCAGTACTCGCTCTTCATAAACATGACAACGATGCTGTTAAGTTTTCGTACGCAACTTCTGTGAGCTGATTGAAAATTTAGAAGTTTTTACTATGCCCGTGCACAGCATTTATTCTGATTATTTCTTCTCTTGTTTATGCCCTTTCTCTCCGGTCATGATTTGGTTACGGGCTTTACACGTCAGTTTTTCTTCAAACGAGATGAATTGATAGTAGTTGTTGTAACAACATGTCGCTAGGTTTTGATCACGCCTCCTGAGCTTACTAACGTAGAAATTTTAGCCAAGACACCTCAAGTACAGGTAAGTTAGGCAAAGTTTTCCATCGCATTGATAATGATTTTGGCGTTTTTGTCAACGTTTTTCGTACGCTTTCCAGTCGAATTCCTGTCATTCAGCTCTCATTTAGAGTTCTAACCAAAAAATCAATTGAATTTTTGCTCAATTAATTTGGAATGATTGCCATGCATAATCAAATGTAATCTCCAACGGTAGTAGGTTTTTTTTCTCTGAGCGCAATCAATTGCGTGGTTTTTGATGGAAGGAGAACAGGTTTTTGTAATCCGCCCTTCGCGTCACTCTTCCAAACGAACGATTTTTAAGCACATCGCGTAAAACGGACAACACGAACAAGGGGAAACGACAGTTGGAAAAGCTGCTTGACTTTGGGTTCAAAGGAATGAATCAAAACAAGACTTTATTTACTCACAGAAGTCGATGTCTTCACGGAAGCAGCCTGGTTCTGTGAAGCCGCTCCAAACAGGAGCGCTAAACGAACATGCTGATGAAAGAATTTGAAGTAGTTAAGTTTCTTAAAAAATCATTTTATTATGAGGAACTGGTTCAGTCGTTTGATGTACCCATCCTCGCTGATAAAATTTATTTATCATCCTTCCATTAAAAAAAAAAAAAAAAAAATTTATCATCCTTCCATTAAAAAAAAAGGCCACGACACTAGCTAACTAGAGGTCTAACAGAATTTCCATGATGTCAGTGTATCTAGTTCTGAAAAAAAAAAAAAACAAGGTAACGATGAAAAGGGTGTACAAAGATTAAAACAGATATTTTGGTCGTTAATGCGAATATGTTTTCTGGGTTTGATTCGAGACAAGGCAACGTTCGATAGAAAAACAAAATTTTTTCAAGTTGAACAGACAACTGAGCTGTCAGCAAATAGTATGGCCTTAGAAATTCCCTTAGCACTTTTAGTCGGGATGTGGAATAGTTTGGTGTCTTTGGAAATAACAACCCTTCAGTTTTGCCTGACAGGATATCATAATATTTTGACCACTAATTTCGAAACAAGTGTCATGTAATACGGTTCGATAAAGAGCAATGTCATCTGATCTTCAACAGTATTTGTGTGTTTACGCACATGGAGGGGGAAAATTAACTATTCATACGCAGTACTAGAATTTTAACCGTTTCTTTGACTGAGAACCAATCCAAAAGTAATGCAGTGGCCTTCTGGTCTCTCTTTTATAAAAAAAATTTTTTTTTTAAAAAAAAAAAGAGAATTTCTTCGTTAAATGGTAATTGAATATTTGGTTACGTAAAATGTTTTCGCAAAGTCATCCCGTGCATTTATGAGCTTGTTTGTTTCCAAGAATATTCGTTGCGTTGTTCATTAAATTACTTCATTCGTTGACTTACGCATTTTTCGAGGGTCTCCTCTTTTCCCTGGCTCTTCTTTCCTTAAAATGTCTTCAACCATGAAGCTTTTGACACATGGACGTCTTTCAAAACGTTTTTGAGGTCGCTTAAAAGCTGAGAATCGTGGCCAGGAAGATAAGGTTTGTCTTGTGGCGCTCGAGTAGTTGTTGCACGAGAGTAACATATCTTGCGCGGGGCCAATTGCACATAGATGATCAAAACTTTCTATCATTTCCCCACGTTCTTCTAACCTTTCGCGGTTCTCTCAAGCAAGGAGGTCTCGGTTAGAGTAATGTTTGTCTAAATGCAGTGTTATTGACGTTAATCGCCACATCTTGTTTACCAAACTTTCTGTTGGGTTCTCTAATGTGATTGGTCAAGGGCGACTTGTTTACAACAATAGTGATCAAAACAATTGAAATCGAGAGGCCAAGTTTGATGTGAAAACCTGATTAGTACTAAAATGTCGGTGTAAGTCCTCTAGATAATGGCAGATAATTCTTAAAAAAACACAAGAAAGAGAAAGAGCAGTGATTTATTTGAACGAATCTGCCCACTAACTCCCAAAGCAAACAATGATTAAAGGAAAACGCCTTGAAATGGTATCTTTGAGAACATTGTTGGTATTGAATCGATCGTCAGGGAGGGGCGGCGAGGAAATGATTACTCGTCATGTCAGAGGATATACAATTTTATTCTAGGGAACTCAAAATTGGTAAAAATAATTTCACTGAGTACTTTTGAGCCCGCACGTGCTCTCTGAATAATGAGTATTGTTGAACGTCAGCTAAGTAAATCGAAGAAAATCGGTATAGACTTCTACAACGTTTTAGTGTTGTTCTTGCTTGGACTCAGCATTACGTAACTTCCTTAATTAACCAAATGTGGGAAAGTTTAAATACGATTCTATTTGTTCTTTTAGTCTTTGCTATTTACATAAGATATTTTGGGGGTATTTTTGAATTTACAAATACGAAATAGGGCTTCTGAATTTTATTTTGATAAACGCATCTTTTTTTTTTTTCTGTCGTAAGCCCCAAAACTCGTAGGTTTCGATTTTCCTCCTATCGTGAAGTTTTGGAGTGATAAAAACCTTCCCTTGGCACCCGTCCCTACCACCTTCCCCCCCCCCCCCGCTACGATCCTCAGCTCCGCAACTTAAACTGAGATAGCGCAAGTGAAATCTTAGTGAGACAAAATATTTCTGGCTCCGTGGGAAGAACTGTTAGCCGAACTACTCTAAGAGTATGACAGCGCTTAATGAATTGATTAGATAATCGGACAGCTAGAAATAATAATAGTATTACATCGCCATGAGAACGTAAAATTTGAAGTGAGGTTAACAAAACACGCTTTCGCCCAGGTCGTGGGAATTGGGTGAGTCAAAATTCTCATTCTGGTTTTTTAAAACGTTAGGGGCTGTTTACAGAATGGGAACAACTTATGAACCCCCCCCCCCCTAAAAAAAATAACATAAAAATAACGTTAAAATCGACATGAATGAGTCGTGAAGATTTTGCAACCGACAAACTTAGCCAAATCAAGATGGGCACGAAATTAAAAGAGATAAGGGACTTCGAAAAAACAAAACATTGGTCGTATTGCATGCTATGACATTTACTCACTATCATTTGTTCATCGATGATTTCAAGACATTGTCTTTGAGATATGTGAAGCGCTTTCAACCGATGTATCGTAAAAACTCAGCGCAGGAAACGATTTTTGGGTGTAAGATAGTTTTTCGACCTTGTGCGCTAATGATGTGTAAATTGGCTTTTGATCATCTGTCGGGCTGCTGACGTTCCAAGAGTGGGTGGTCCTTTATTGTTAGTGACCTTCAACAGATAGTCTTGATGAGGCTGTGTCCTTTCGTTCTTGTTAATTAACTTTTCAGGACCGAACTACTCAAATACTGGCGATCTACTTTGATTCATTAACTAATTTTGTCGATACAACTTTGGATTTAATTTGGATATATCAACAAAGTTGAAATGGTAAATTGGCCACCGTAACGATTACAAAAGCTGATGTTTCGAGCGTTAGCCCTTCGTCGGAGCGAATAGAGGAATTGTGGGTTGTGTGTGCTTTTAAAGACAGAAAATGGAGCTACGTTATTGGTGGGAACATGGCAACGAGAAAAACAGGAATACAAACACTTTGGATTTGTCTGATTTGACCTGTATAGCGTGACATGTCGGAATCACCCAGTTTAAGTACCAATGGAATTGAGCAGCGATGTTATTAGCCAATGAAATTTAACAACCTTGTTCTTCCCAATCACCCGATGATTGTTATATATTATTAGGACTGCAAGCCCATTTATTGTAGATAATATTTAATATTCATTTGTAAATTAGGATTGATAGGTAGTTTTCCTATTGTAGACAATGACCAATGCATTTGTGTAAATTAGGACTGAAAAGCCTTCTTGGAGCCCTAATAAAATCATTTCATTTCAAAACCAAACCATGCAGAAAATCTTGTTCAACTCCAGTTCAATAATTTTGTATTGACTATATTTTTCTTGGTTATTTTTAGAAGAGCCTGTTCAAAATGTGTCTATGGTTTAGAATGCGAAGTTAACATAGTGGTCAACAAAGAACGCCTAAAGAGAAAAGGCACAAGAAATAAAACGTTAACGAAATATTTTATGATCATGATCGTGATCCAAAGATCAACCAAATCTAGGAAAAATAAGCGATCCCATAATTTTTTCTGTCCTATTCTCTCGTAGCATTGCTTTTAATCAGCAACACTATCGTTACCTTCCAAAACTGAGGCTAGTTCCAGGTTTTCAGTAAGTTGTGACGGTCGAAAAAGCTGGTGTGAGCGGAAAAAAAACTGACGGCCGGGAGATTTAATCTTCCTTCCCAGACTTCTACCATTATTTGCTCGCCGACTCAGCATGGGACTAGAGCCAAGTTTGACATACATACATACATACA